TGTGAGAAACTGATAGTGTAAACAAGGGTTAAAATGATTAAAATGAATAATTGATAATTTGAAATAGGAAAAAAGTCCAAAGACAAAGGAGTGAAAGGAGGGGAAGGGGAAAGGAAAAGAGGGAAAGGAAAAACTATGAGAAAAGAAAAAAAAAAGGAAATTAAATCTATGTAAATATGGAAGGGTGGAGGGGGTGAAGGGTGCACAGGTAATGGGGAAAAAAATAAGAAACAAGATATATCATGTACAGGTACAAACTCCCAATGATAAATGTAAATGAATTGTATACCTAAAATGTACCAATAAAAGAACTAAAAAAAAGTATCCAGAATAAAAATTGGAAATATGGTATTTTTTCAGTATTTATCCAGTAATTAAAGTGTTCCAGGATACTTTAGATTTGCCTGACTTTTCTTAATCAGATTAATGATAGACATTTCACTAATGACTGACGGGTTTGTATATCTTAAGAGAGTGGCTTCCCACCTTCAAGGATGCACCACCAGACTTCCTAAAGGTCAGCAAGCCAGCCTGTCACTGAGCACCTGAACTGGCATTTTTTTCTTCTAAGTTGTGCATCTTTCTACACAATAGGAGGAAAGAGAACTTTCAAGGCTATTACTAAAGATAAATGTCATCTTTATATTAAAGATGAATGATAAAAGTAGAATAACCAAATAATCTAAGAGGTTATCAAGACCACTTTTATAGAAGATCAGAGGTTTTGGATGAATCATACCTGAATGTGAAGCAGAGATCTGTCTCTGACTAGCTGAATGTATTTAGGAATGGCATTTGTTTCTTCCTTTAGAACGTGGAGTCCACACCAAATTTGAGGTCAGTTTTAATGACTATCAGCTTTTGCAGCCTTGTTAAGAGATGCTTTTTAAAAATGAAAATGAGATTGACATTGACTTGCTTAAAACACAAGTCAATTTCTGTCATACTTAGAAAAAGGTCTTAACTTCTTGTTTTCCGCCATGATAGTTCTAGATGCTTCCCAGATCACCTCAGCTGAACTAGGTTGGACAGCTCCATGGGACCACTGCCTGCCACTGCCCACCTTCAGTCTCAGTGGGAGTTCATTTATTATTAGACTTTCTCCAATAAAATGTAAGCTGCATGAGGGCAGTGATTTTTTTAACAGACTGCTACACAGCCAATGGCTAGAAGTATAGTAGGTTTTTTATCCTGCATATTGCTAGCTAGGAAAAATAAAAATTCAAAATCTGAAGTAAGGTTTTTATTGAATATTTATCACTCTTTTGCATCACCATAAATTTGAAAAATTATAAGTTGAATCATCAAAAGCTGGTGACCATTTGTATAGTGAAGGTTCAACAACAAGAAAAGATACCTATAATTTAAAT